CAACCCACTCGAGCGGATCTGTTATAGCGGTGTTCGCCCCTCCCGCCCACCGAAGTTGCTCTCAGGCTCCACTAGCACAAGTATCGTATTTTGTGCTGTTTTCTCACAGCAAATCTCTCTCGGGGAGAGACAAAGAAAATGCACTGCTACGAGGGTGGCAACTCGATGTGCTCGCAATCCTGTACCGACATTGGGCATTTGAGGTTGGCAGGCACGAAGAGACGAGGGTAAGCTTGATAGTATACATCCCTACGCCAGTGATGAAGGTTGGAAACCACTAAAACGGGGCAAGAACACAGCAGCTTCGCAGATTTAGTCCGGTGAGTGCAGAGAGCTGCTTTCTTGATTGTCCACTACTTGTAATGTGTACTTTGTACTTGCTACAGCATTTTTTGTTTTCTTATGCTTCAGCTGCCTTCGACTTTCCAAGCTCCTTTGTAGACATCAGGCTTATTCATCAGCTTTTCCATCTATGCCACCATTCCCGGATATTTTCATTTATACTCCTCAGTATCTATTTTTATTGCTAGCTATAAACGCGATATCGCTAAGTATAAACGCACTTTTGCTCAGTATAAACGCATTTTCGCATAGCATGAACGCAATATCGCTAAGTATAGATGCACTTTCGGTTAGTATAAACGCATTTTCACATAGTATGAACACAATATCGCTAAGTATAGATGCACTTTTGGTTAGTGTAAACGCATTTTCGCTCAGTATGAACGCAATATCGCTCAATATAAACGCACTCTTGCTTACCATAAACGCTAAGTATAATTGCACTTTCGCTAAGTATAAACGCGCTTCAACCAAGTATAAACGCAGTATCGCCCAGTATGTACTATCAAACTATCACCAGTTTTGANGCGCGTTTTTACAGCACGGTTTAGACGCGCTTTTTGCTGCAAGGTTTCGACGCGTGTTTCCTCTCGTTTTGCGGGTGACGGTGACAGAAAAGCGGCTGCGTAAAGGTGCCAGAGACTCTTCATCACGGTGTCATCATTTGCACGCAGTCGAAGAGGATGCCGATGAACAATGAACTCCCAGCAAGTTCGACTCTTATTTATAGGCCTGTGGAGGTCAAGAGTTTCCCTACGTTCCAGAGATCTGGCGGGAAATACGCAATGTTTATCGATATGCGTTCTCGATATTTTTTTCTTCTTTATGACCTCCGCTAGACGATGGCCGAGGAATGTGTACTTCTTTTTCCCGATTTTCTAAGGGATTTGAGACGCGATTACATAAGTTGACTTTTATAAGCTCATTTTCGTATTTCTACCAGAGGATATACACTCGCATTATTTGCAAGCGCTTTTCCTGCAAAAAAAAATGAGCGTGTAATATTGAACTTTTTATCCGTACATACAACTGATATGTCGAAATTACAAACTATGCATGTACCACATAACGCGACGCGTTCCTATTTACCACTCAGCTTTCAGAATGAGCACTATAAAGTATCTCGTCGGTTGGAAGCAATCGAAGCAAATAAGTACAAGTTCGCAAAAACCACAGGAAAAAACGAAGAAAAACGACTTGCTCAGTTAAATACACGAAATTTCATAACAGAATATCATAATATGTGTGAAATACATCCATTTCTGTGACATGTTGGAGTAAAGTGGCGCAACGAATTCAGTACTCGGTGGACATGGTGGACATTCAATGATGTGGGAAGTGGGCGAGAGGAAAAAAATGTGCAATCAGTATCAGACCTTTCGTTACGCGATGTTGTGTTCAGGAAACCTTTTGAAAATAGGATGATACATTACGAAGATGATCCTAAATACACGGTACGAGCTGTTAAAATACGTAGTTCAATTTGGATGGAAACGGTACAGTCCGAATATCCGCTTCATTCAGACTGAGCCGACAATGATGAAGTGATCACGCTGGTGGAAGAGCCTGATGTCATTCGGTGACGGTTATGATGGAGCCCTAAAACTATTATCTATAAAGTAATACTTCAGAATCAACTGCCAGTATTTCGCCCTGTCTCGAAGGCATGAAAACAGAGCGAAACTGATGCTGGAGCTGTAAGGCATAGTTCACCATAATTTTGAGGTACCCGTTTTTATTCAAAAAGCAGATGTATAGATTGGGAATAGTTCATCGGTAGTGAAGAGAGCGAGAGAATTCGTCGATTTTGAGAGGAATATGGCCCCTCAAAAGTAGGGAAAATAGAGGTTGGACGAGAATGCCATGACCGAAACAACATGGGAGGGGTATTCGGACGAGCTTTCAGTTATTGCAATTGCACAAAGAGCTGACTACATCAAGCCAGAATTGAACGGAACTGTTTTCGCTGTCGCTATGGGTCATGACAAGTTGTTTAAACTTCTACACGGGTTTTCTTGTGATTGGTGCAGCCTCTACAATGAAGGTGTAACTTGTCCAAGAATACACACAGGCCAATCTTTGAGCCTTTATAGCTCCCTAACTAGGCCGTTTCTGACGTAATAGTGCCAGATATGGTGTACGTGGGGACCTCAAATTCATCCTGAGGGGAAATCTCAGGAAACATTTTTATCGTGAGCTGTGCCTTTAACCTTTTTTCCTGATAGGTCGTGAAAAAAAAATTCTTTCTAACACCACAGCTAAACATAGTGTTCATGAACTCCCTCACATCATTTTATGGAGATTAAGCGAAGTTTATCAATCGATCACGCGATAATTTTCAAGTTCCTCCTCAGAGCATTTCACCTCATTCCAAAAAGCAGTCTGTGTTAATGCCAAGCAAAAACACACCACGGTGCTGACTTTTGCTTCAGGCCGTATTTTTAAGAAAATACTATTATTGCACGAGTTATTGGTCATATGCATTGCGGAGTTTTTTTTTCTATAAATGAGAACATCCTCCTCATTTAGACAGTATTTCAACTGACATAGCGGGGACCACGTATATTGCTATTTTTTGTTCATGCGCTCATCATGGGAAGGAAAAAAACGGTGTTGATTTGCCTGGCTATGTTGGATTAAACGTGGCGATACTTTATTGGAATCCCGTTGACAGTCATAACTGGAAACATCCGACGACTCCAAAAATGGCCCTGACCAAAAATTCTCTCTTTATGGCGTTTGCTCTCCTACTGACTAAAGTCGCTATTATTCTATACGGTGCTACTTGCATTTTCTGGATCTCGTCTGAATATTATTACCGTTCCTTCATTAGTAAGTTCCAACTGCACTGTTGATATCTACTGAGAACATTCGTGATAATTACCTGTCTCAAAGGATCCGAATTCATGTATCCGTAGGCCCACTTAACCATGACACTTTCTCGCGCAGAAACGCAGCTAGCAGCTTCGAAATACAGCAATAGATGAAAATTGTTTTGGATGTTACTTATTCAAAAGAATCTATAGGTTACTCGGACAGGGTTGGGTGAAAAAGCGGCCTGGGTAGGACGCATCAAGAACCGTTATGGGCGCTCTCTGCCGCTCAATATATCCAAAAGAGGACGTGTTCGGCAGTTTCGTAGTGAACGACACCATTCAATGTAGAGTGTGTTTGTCGTAAAAGCAGTTAGATCAGCTGATATACTTTGTTGGAGAGCGACTGACATCCCAATTAAACAATCCTCCGCCGTCAAAACCTCGTCCATCAGTGATGATTGGTTCGAAAACCTCTTGAATGATAGTTATTTCCGAGAATTTCCGCAATCTCGAAGCGCTGCAAACAGTGAGATAATGTGGGGAAGCTTGGTGAGCAGAATAAATTTCAACAATTCAATTCTAGCTATGAATACTCTGAAAGCTGAAGTTGGATGCAAGTGCAATTTACCGGTAACATGTTAACAGCAGTTGCTTTCAGTGCAAAAAATCTACTTGTTACTTTCTCTGTCATATTTCGTTATTATAACCGTGAGAGGATAAAATCATAAAAAGAGTGAGAAAAAGATGTATCTAGAAGCGAATTTTCGATGTGTGGCCTCGGATTGTTTTATTATTGGTAATAGTTAATAATAACTAGTGGTAATATGGAATAATCAGTATTTTATCCAAACGCGGTATGGGTTCTTCAGTGTTCTCAACGAAACAGTTTTATGCGATACTTTGCTTAGTCGTTGCTCAACTACTAGTGTATTGCAATTGGATTCCAGAAAAAAGTTTTTTGGAAAAGAGTCTGCTACCAGGTCAAGCGAAAATTATTATATTTAATGTTATCATTCCACATGACGCGAATGAAGCAGCAACATAAGAGGTTCCTAGAAATTATCAGACACGCCTATAATAAAAAGCATTTCAAAACCGAAATCAGACCAATAGCGTATTTTTTTCAGAAATGAGTGAAGAGAACAACAAGAGCACAGAGGTAAGCATCGACGACGACTACCATTACTATGAACAGGAGTTGATTCATGATTCGGTAGTATTTTATCATTTTGGGACGCATTGGATACTTCAGTGGGAGATCCTCACTTTAGATCCAACACTATGGGCAGCACCCTGACGTACGCTTCCCTCGAAACGCTAGAACAACTCATATTGACTGTGGGAGACTTCTACATGAGGACAAGGTGGGTGGCCATCCCAAAGAAAGGGGAAGTTTTGACCGCTTCCATGAAGAAATTGTTCAGCAAAGTGGTCATATCAGAGGACTGGCATCGTCACGTGTGGAACTCGGGGATCAGAACCGCTCTATGAGCTGTGAGGATATCCGAGCACGAGTTCTTCCCCCGAAGCCTCTTCAGACATTACAATTTGGTGTGGCTCATGCACGTATAGTATATGAGGTAGCACTAATTTCATTTGATCAGAGATTGAATGGACAGCATCCATGACGCCTACTATTCCCGTTGAACTACTTAAAAAAGTGCCCATGCTTTTGAATTCCGTTTAGAATCGCTGTAGTATTTAAAAGCATATTCGTCCTATATAGTACTCTAGAGGGGTCTCTTAAGTTACAAGTCAGTGTCCCACGGTCTCAGACGAGTTTGCCGCCCGTAGAGGACTCCTCAGAGGGGCTGGCTATTGAAGGGAGCGGAAAGTTAGATTGCAGTGGGTCTTATTGATATTGATTTGATTCTTCGATTTCGTACTGTACGAAAGAAAAGTCGCTTGACACTAACACAGTTCCTTATGTTGAATCTAATTACAGTAATTAAATACTTATTCTAGAGCTATGAACTGATAGAAGAAGAACTCAGATCGAGTTATCATCCACAAAACGTATTCTGTTATGCTATAGATCACAAAGCGAAGGAAGACTTCACGCAGAAGATTGAAAAACTCTCAAAATGCCTGCCCAATGTGTTAGTTCCTAACAGTTAGTTGATCTTGATATACAGGTATTTTATTTTTAACATCTAAAACTTCCTTTCTAATTAATTTGTTATCATGAAGAGAGCCGGCCTTTTTAAATGCCAATATTCTCGGTAACATATTTTTTATTGACTAACAATTAATTTAGCGCGATACTCTATTGGAAGGACCGGAATCAACGGGACTCGGGCACATTACGAATGTTTGAAGGCACTTATGGCATATACCGGCTGGGAATATGTAATGCTCATGCAGGTACCACTTACAGAGAGGATCTGGAGTTCTCTCTCAGCTATTCACGACAGTGGATTTCAGAATTACGACATCATGATTAAAAGTGTTTATGAGACCGTTTCAATTCTGCAAAAACTCGGTGGAGCAAATGATGTCCACGTGAGACCATGCGAAAGTTATCGCTATAATCAGTCCTTAGAATGGGATGTTCAATCACTGAAATTCTTCCGAAACGGTGCGCTTTCGGCCCCTTCCAGTTATTCCCGAGAAAACTAAAAGAACAATCATTGTTGGGCACTCAGATTTATGTTTTACTGCTTTAATACACAAAGTTAAGAGAAGGATATGAAGCCAACACAAAGAAATGCGTCGTTAACGTTTGCCCGAGGAGCAGCCCATGCGTCACTCTCACGGGCTGCAGTCAATTGGATGGTGAACACTGTAGATCTCACAAAGACTTTCGAACAACTTGATCTTGACGTGTGTTTTCCTCGTGTTCTGATTTATTCAATTAATAATAGGACGTACATCTTCGGTAATCCTATGCTGCAGTTAGAGTGGGTGGGGACTTACTCCCTGATCTCCAATTGCCCGCGAGACTGGAAGCATGAAATCAAATGTTTAGGTCCTAGGAGTTGATGAAGTTCTCATTCCAACGCTGCAAGTGAGTGATAGCATCGACATGCCGGGAAGATTTACAGCGGAATGTGTGCAGAAAGGAAAAGTCATTGGCTTTATAACGAGGTCAGTTTACTCGGCAAAGGTAAAAATATTTAAAAAATGGAACCAGAAGTGCGACCAACGGATGAGGCATTTCACCCTAAACCCTACCAAAGGAAAGAGGCTCACCAAGAAATGTTCTAGTACCGGCTAGACCCTTCTACCACACGGCTCTCGAACTTATGCATCCGTTAGTATTTTTGTAAAAAGCTTGTATCTGAGGTTTATCGAGGAGAACAAAACACTGGCACCTACATACTTGAGCAGACTGCATTAAAGTCGTGTGCCTCTACGGTTTTTGGGTTGAGGGCGTTTCTCGAATGTTATACTCGATGAATTGTGCTCTATTGTTCTATTGTTTTCAGCACAAGATTCTGAGTTACGGTAGGACTTTTGGCATTTGAGCGGGACTCCAACTCGGACCCGCCCCCTCTAGCTACCATCCTTACTCGTTACACTATCGAAATCCGGGAAAAATTGGCTGATGGATAAAGACTTTTGGTATTTCAGTGACCGAGAATTGACTTTACCCTAGATTCCAATGGACGGGCTACCACAGGGGTATCATTAATGAGCGACCTACCCGAGAACCTTGGTAGCATGACCGCTAAGCTCGACACTGGAAAGCCGATTACGCGATAATTTACCAGCTTTGCGATTATATAGATTTGGTAGACGACTGTAAAAAACGATAGTTCACAAAAGAAATAATCAGACCAAAGCTACTACACTAGACGGACTGAGAGTGTTAGAAGTAGCTTCTTCAACTATTATATAAGCCATCGCAGTAAATATAATATGCTCCCACCACCTCTGATAGTCGAGCCCACATCGTCACACTGCTTCAGTTGATACAGAATTGCAGTTTCCTACGAACAGAAAACAATAAATTGATGCAAAAAGAAAAGGTAGCCTTGTAGCGTTGGTCGATCCCGTTCTGAGGTTTTATTTTATAGGCTTTTGCAGTCTAGGCAACGCTTTGCGGTTGCCAGCTGATGTACAAGACGGTGCTTTGATTCTCCCAGAGTCAGGTGATCCCGAAAAAATGGAAGACTTGGTCGGCCCGGGCAGTTATCCCTGAACAATGAGTATGATAGTGCGTAACTAGGCACTATCATACTCATTGTTCAGGGATAGAGTCCCGGACTGATGCTCGCCCAGGCCCACAATGGGATAGAACAATTAGTATAATAATACGCCTCAACCTTATTGGAACGAAATAACATTTTCGCATTACTTCATGAAAACACCAGTTGGGCTATGCACGCTAACGCGTGCACTATATGTCCATAACCGCTCATCTACGATGGAGACATTCAGCGGAATGTTGGACTATCAGAGTAAGATAGTTCCCTCTAAATTCGAACGCTGAACCGCTTTGAGAGCATCATGCTCGATATAACTTGATTTGACTTGATGTTTTGTTAACTGCTGTTT